TATCTCATGATCCACTGATCGGATCTTAACCAGATTAGTATGGGACCACTTCTGAGACACTACCTTTCCGATGCAAAAATCGAAATCGGTTGACATGGTCCAAAGTTATACGGTAACATACATAAAAAAAAAAATAAAAAATAAAAATAAAAAATAAAATATTCCGACGAACTGATAACCTCCTCCTTTTTTGGAAGTCAGTAAAAAAAAAATACACTAGCGTCGCGGCTGGAATTTCCTCCGATATTTCCCCACTGTGCGTCACTTGCTTTCAGAGAGTCGCTTAGCAGCAGCTCCAAGTGACAGCAAGCTGAGAAGACAACACGTTGTGTCAGATGTCAAATGCGAATATGATGAGCGTTGAAGGAATGAGCAAAATTTACAACAAAAAATAGCAACAAGTTAAGCAGAAGCAGTTGTACGTAGTGTTTCACGCTCATATGACACAGGCGGGTTTTAATATAATTTTAGCTTTTTTATGAATTTCTTTTTCTGCTATTTCGTTGTATGTAACTTATAGCGTTGCAATTATTTGTTTTACTATTTTTTGCTCTTATTTCGTTCTTATGAACTGCATGTGTAGTATTTAGTATGAAATAGCACAGAGGAGTTAAAGTTATAAAATGCCTGAGTAAACTAGCACGCACATGTGCAGTCCCTCCAGACGTTTTCCTCAAGTGTGCAATTATTTAAAGAAATCATCCGCAAAGCGGTCGTAGTCGGAATGTGCGTCAGTCACTTGGTGTACCGGGTGACATGTTTTGACTGCGCATTTAATTTATGAATGGCATTAAGCTGAACTATTGGCAAATTTACTTTAACTCGACTTGAAAATGGCAATATGCTGCATGAAGTGTCTGAATGGATATCTAAGTATGTAAATAGTATGAGAAAAATCTGCAAAAAAGGAGTTGAGAAAAAGGAAATAAAAGTGAAGGAGAATAAAGCAAAACTTGTTGGCCTTCCTGAATATGCGAGGATCTCATAAAGGGTGAGATTCGTCACTAAAGCTTTGATAGTAGTGGAACAAAGTCCACTTTTATAATGCCTTTTCCAGTTATAGAATGGGAAACCAAGTCACTGGATTTACTGGCAGCGCATCTCAAAGAAGGTTGTACATATATTATATTTTGACAAGGTTCGGTACAAGTTCTTGCCTTTTAAATTAGAGAAATTTAAATTGAGGAAGCATGGAAACTATGAGGGTACGCCGATCTGCGGTGAAATTAAGTGGAGTGGGCTTGGACGATAGCAGAGAACATATTATCTTCGGGTTGGGACCACGGATCTAGAATTTCTATGTGGTTTCCAGCAAAAGCAGAATGAAATGCTTACCAACCTATGGGAAGAGGCATTATTACCAGCTTTCCCTATTGCTCTCGAGGACAAGCAGATCAGTCAGTGACAACGTTTGCTTGTTAACTGCATACATGGTCTTTCAATAAAATATCTACGACATTGGAAAATTCGAGAATTGTTCGGAAGCTTCGGGCGCTGCTGGCATACTTGGTCAAAGTCGCCACTTACCATGTATTAACGATTATGGAACAGTTGACGAGGTGACTGTTTTTTTTAGATATTTCTATAGAGCCGCTGTTCCTGTGATCCACTGAGGAAAATTAATGAACCTGTAGTTTAGACGGGATATCCGCTTCAAGGTCTGATGTCTCTGGGTCTTCATGGCGCACAGTGTGGATAAAGAACTTTTTTGTGTCAAAATCTTATACCTCGAACAGTATTTTTTATTTTGAAATAGAGAATTGGGTAAAAATAGCCCCGTTGGATAAAAAAATCATATTGACTTTTAAAAATGGAGGCTTTATTTTTTTTTATTTTTTACAGAAAAATAGTATATATACAATGAAATTTTTAAAAAGTTTTAAACATATCGAGGGCCTTTATTCAATACAACCTATATGCAGTTTTCACAAAAACTATTTTGTGATGCTAAGATTCATCTGGGACTTAAATTATATCAACGATGTTAATTTAAACTTGGCAANACATGTCGGCTGTGGCGTCGCGTGGGGACTATTGCTTCTAGTTCTGAGATCGCAGGTTCGATTCTTGTTGGAGGCGGTTAGAGTTAAGGTAAAACGATGTTTCCACGGCAAGAGATTCGCTCTCCCATTCGTAATTCGCTCTCTCATTCGTAATTCGCTCTCTCATTCGTGATTGACGCCCCAATTACGAACCGAATCACGTAATTCGCCATACAAAATTTTGAGAGCGAATCACTTCATTCGCAGGTGATTGAGAGCCAATCAACATGCGATTCAAGAACAAATCGTTGTCTTCTCTAATTTTTATCGATAACGGCTGTCAAAACACATAGACCACACACATACCCACCAGCATAAACATTGAAAAAATAGCTAGATTCGTTAAAACTATTGATTTAGCTAATTAACCACTGCAAATTTTTTCTCCACCGTTGAAATGCACAATTAACAGCACATTAAACTTTAAACAAAAGCAAAGAACAATAAGCAGAGATGCAAAGTGAATCACGAATGTGTCGTGTAAACAGGTTGATTCGCCGTTCATANATGACAGTTAAGTCTTAGGTGGATTTTTTTATCAAAATCTCATTTTGTGAAAATTTCAGAAAGGTTGTATTAAATATAAGCCCTCGAAATATTTTATTTTTTTTTGCTTTTGCGTCAGGGAATCCATTCTCATTGTCGGAAGAGCAGAAAAACACATTTAATTTTTTTTTAAGTTTATGCTGTTTTAAGATCAAAAAAGGAAAAAAAAAACTAACATTTTACTTTTTAAAGTCAAGGTAATTTCTTTATTCCACGAGACCTCAAAATTTTTTTTTCTTTTTTTTGACCTCATGACAGTATCTACATGATGAACTTAAAAAAAATTAAATATGTTTTTCGGTTCTTGCAACCATAGAAATTCGATTATTTGAGGCAAATATACAAAAACATGTGGTTGAAACTTTGTAAAAATTGTATTGACAGCGTTTTCATATAAAGAAAGAAATTTAAATTGCTTTCCTGGCACATGTCGGCTGTGGCGTCGCGTGGGGACTATTGCTTCTAGTTCTGAGATCGCAGGTTCGATTCTTGTTGGAGGCGGTTAGAGTTAAGGTAAAACGATGTTTCCACGGCAAGAGATTCGCTCTCCCATTCGTAATTCGCTCTCTCATTCGTAATTCGCTCTCTCATTCGTGATTGACGCCCCAATTACGAACCGAATCACGTAATTCGCCATACAAAATTTTGAGAGCGAATCACTTCATTCGCAGGTGATTGAGAGCCAATCAACATGCGATTCAAGAACAAATCGTTGTCTTCTCTAATTTTTATCGATAACGGCTGTCAAAACACATAGACCACACACATACCCACCAGCATAAACATTGAAAAAATAGCTAGATTCGTTAAAACTATTGATTTAGCTAATTAACCACTGCAAATTTTTTCTCCACCGTTGAAATGCACAATTAACAGCACATTAAACTTTAAACAAAAGCAAAGAACAATAAGCAGAGATGCAAAGTGAATCACGAATGTGTCGTGTAAACAGGTTGATTCGCCGTTCATAATTGAGAGAGCGAACCACGTGATTCGGTTGTCGTGGAAACGCCATTTAAGTCAATTATTTCAATTTAAATATAAATTACAAATTGTAAAATTAATTTCATATATGGAAAAACCTAAATACTCAAATACCATAAAAAATAAATGAGATAAAATTTTTCAATACAATCTAAAAAATTACAATAAAAAATAAATCAAAAATTTCATTTCATGCTCTGGAGCTCGAACCTTTCATCTCTCAACTAGCACTCCAGGGTTTTGTTTTGTCGATCATTACGACTGTTTGAGCGCCGTAAGCAAAATGACATCCTTAATCCTTTCACGGCAAGTTAATTTTTCCTAAGAAAGGAAATAGTACTGAAAACTATAGATTTTTTTTTTTTTGCTTAAACTGAGTCAAATCGTTTTCTCATTTTAAGGCGACATGGCTGCCTTTGGAGCCATTTCAAGGTAATATTTCCTTAGAATAATATGTATACTTTTTTCCAACAGCAACAAGGACTGTTTTTTTCTGAGTCTCTTTTCTACGATAAAGAACAACATATAGACCTGAAGATCATATATTTCCTTTCAGAGAAAAAAATTAAATTATTTAGTAAACAATTTGGCTGAATTCGCTAACAAAAGATACCGAGAAGACACCCTGGTTGTATGACTTAGCGAAATTTCCACAATGAATAGTTCCTAAATTGAATGCAACTTCATACATATTATACATATTAACTCGTACGAAAAACAAGAATACGAGTACCGCTTTACTTGCGTAGCTTATACTCTAAAATATTTTCAAGACAAACCCAAAACTATGCGTACCCAACTACTGTTGAACTTTGGCTGCTTGCGTACTTTGAACGTCACATTAAAATTCTACGAGCACTAAAAAGTATGCATAAACTCGTTACACTCTGCGAACCACTTGCCTTTTCTCGACAACTTGCAACTATTATTTAATTAAAAATCTTGCAACTGTCATTTATCAAATCAATTTTGCATAGTTTATTTAATTATAGCTGCAATGGCATGGCAAACTTAACCTCATTTAACAAGACACCGGTATGTATGTATGTATGTACATATGTAAGTATGTATGTAACTTCGCTGCAGCAATTCAGACTCACCCTAGGTTAGCCCACAGATAGTCCCTATTGTTACCAGCACTAGTCCCCCTGCAGCAATTCAGACTCACCCTAGGTTAGCCCTCAGATAGTCCCTATTGTTACCAGCACTAGTCCCCCTGCAGCAATTCAGACTCACCCTAGGTTAGCCCTCAGATAGTCCCTATTGTTTTACCAGCACTAGTCCCGCATAATTCCCCTGCCAATGGTTTCAACTGCCCTTTTTAGCATTGGCGTGTCATTGGAAAAGGCCCGGTCCAATCAACACTGACCGTAAGATAGTCCTGGAATAGTCCAATTTTGGAGATTTTTTCGTTGAAGTAAGATTGCGTTCTGCACTTCGCCGATGCGTTTTCATAATTCGGAAACACGAAAAAAAAAAAATTTTATCATTTTATAACCATGTTGTTTCTGACGGCATTTGAACCCGGACCCTCCTGAAAGCTAACCAATAATGGCAAGCATCTCTGCGCACTGAGCTGCAGCCACGCTTGTAAATGTGTGTTCAAATGTTCACTTTGCATCAAGGCCAGACCAAGCGATTGGGACATTTACATGGTGGTGTTCTTTAATTTTTTTTTTATTGAATTGCAAGACAACACCACCCTCTTTCGTCTACTGGTCGAAGGCTGACATTTTCGATGCAAGCAAATGTCCAATTCTGACCAGTCAAAATTTTAACCAGTGAAGTACTAGTCCTTAACGGGAAATTGGCCGCCTTATTGCTGCAGGGTTGTGCGCACTCCTCTCCTTGTACCACAAAAGCACAAGCACACAAGCAAATATTGTGCGAAATTTTCAATGTGTCGCTCGACACAATCTAGACCATCTCCTCCTCGTCGCCGTCCGTTCTCCTCTTCAGTCTTGGCCAATACAAATTGCTATACAACTTGNCACCACAAAAGCACACCTTGCATACACAAATATTGTGCGAAATTTTCAATGTGTCGCTCGACACAATCTAGACCATCTCCTCCTCGTCGTCGTCCGTTCTCCTCTTCAGTCTTGGCCAATACAAATTGCTATACAACTTGAGTTTTGTGTAAACTTTATTTTGTTGGTTGACTTGTTGCAAGACCACAAATATTGCACTTTGCCACCGAAGGGGGTTCGCCTCAACTGCGAAGAGATATACCATGCCAACTTGAGTTATGTATGCAAGTTGGAGTGCAGTAAATTTGTCAGTTGGTGCAAATTTGTTATGCTACTACATGAAGATTGAATTGGAATGTCCTTTCCCCATTGCGTTCCTTCCTTCCTTTTTCACTCTTTTGGGGCAAAAGTGTTAAATGACATCATGTCCTTACACATTTCGAAAATGCATTGCCGTGCTTTACAAGTAAATATTCTAGAATGCATGCACAATTATTATAGTCTAACCACTGTTGACATGTGATCCGACAGTGGCCATAGTTGGGTGCAAGCAGCAAATTGTTGGAACTTGTAAATACATATGCTGTTGTAGGTTTTTTTTTTCGAAAGCAAAAAAGTATGTTTTTGTGTAGAAAGTGAGAAGTCGACAAGGTTTTAATATCACCAAACATATGTTTGTATGTATGTATATCACTACATGTAGAGACTGATTAACTTTCTATAGAAAAAAACTAATACAAGTAATTTTTAAGCAAAACACAAAACCGACTTCAAATCTCATATAAAAATTTAAGATTATCGTTAATTTTTTCATGATCCAATCATCCGATTTAAATTAGTATGTGAGGTAACACCTTTGCTTTAAAAAAAGAATTATCGAAATCGGTTAACTTGGTCCAAAGTTATGCGGTAATATACATAAAAAAAAAGTATTCCGACGAATTGATGACCTTCTCCTTTTTGTGAAGTCGATTAATAAAGGATAAAGACGAAAATGAAACTAATGAGAAATACATAAGAATTAGGGTAATTGAAAGGGTAAGAAAATTTACTGAAATTTTTCCATTGGAGTCGAAATTAGTGATGTGCTGAGTCAATACTATTAAGTATTGATCGATATTCAGCACCGATTTAAAAAGTATACAACACTCTCGATACTCGGTACCGAAACATTTAGGTTCCGAATAAAAGCGCACANCTGAAAGGGTAAGAAAATTTACTGAACTTTTTCCATAGGAGTCGAAATTAGTGATGTACTGAGTCAATACTTTTAAGTATTGATCGATATTCGGCACCGATTTAAAAAGTATACAATACTCTCGATACTCGGTACCGAAACATTTAAGTTCCGAATAAAAGCGCCTATAGGCCAAAAATATGGAAAAACGGTTCAGGGGAGACTCGCCTATCAAAACCCGAATGCAGGAGCCAAGAGAGCTTTTAAGTAATACTGATTCAAATGAAAGATGTATATATGTATGTCGATTCGAGNTCCAAAAATATGGAAACTCGCCTATCAAAACCCGAATGCAGGAGCCAAGAGAGCTTTTAAGTAATACTGATTCAAATGAAAGATGTATATATGTATGTCGATTCGAGGCCATAATGCAGAGAAACTCTTATTTACTTGTTTGAAGCTTTTATGTTCCAGCTGAATCGGACGATATCATTTTTGTAGGCCTGGGGGCAAATTCTGTAACCAGTTAACGACAATTTTCGAATCGGTATCGGTGTTGTTGACGTATGATATGAAATGTTTTTACGTCAACAAGTGCGATATCGATCCGAAACTTGTCGCTAACTGGTTACATAATCTCCCCCTGAAAGGCTTCTTCATCCGTCAAAGCATTTTTCTTGAACCTTGGATCGACTAAGGTTAAAACTGATAAATTAATATTTCTCTGTTGCGATAAGTTCAAGTGTTTTAGCAGATATCATATAAATTAGTAATGAAAGTTTTTTCTAAACTTAAAATTCGTATAATGACGAGGGTCTAATGTAAAGAATCGGCATCGCGTACCGAAAAGGAAGTATTGGGGTACCGAAATCTTTTTTAAGTATTGCGTACCGACAAATCAGCTCATCACTAGTCGAAATAAATTCAGACATAAAGAACTTTTTATCGAAGTTTATCAAGTTACCACCAGTTTATCGAATCATCGAAATTTATTTTTATCGAAATTGGTCGAGTTATCCATGTTTATTTATGGGATTATCGAAATTTGTCAAGTTAATGAAATTTATCGATTTATCGAATCTAAGTTTTTGGAGTTTTCAAAAGATATCCCTTTATCGAAATCTCAATGTTATATACACTTGTGATTAGCTAATTAAGCCAGCAACATTTTGATAAATTTTGGCTATTTTGCTTTCGNGCTTTATCGAAATCTCAATGTTATATACACTTGTGATCAGCTAATTAAGCCAGCAACATTTTGATAAATTTTGGCTATTTTGCTTTCGTTTCGTCTAGCTCATTATATAACAAACACCATATAAATCCATTGTCCAAAAATTATGAAAAATCTGCAAAGTGTCAGCTAAATTCTCAACTTTTTATTCAGATTTTTTAGAATTTTTTTAGAAAAAAAAACATGAAAAATCAAATCAAGACTTGCACGTTATTACCCTAGAATTTAATGGGCTATTAAGCTGCATACTCGAAAAAAGCATCGAGTTAGCATTGCTTATCGAATTTTATCGTGTTACCAGAATGTAAAGAGCTATCGAAATTTGTCGAAAGCTTTCGAAAAATACATATAGAGCTATCAAATTTAAACGAGTTATCGAAATTTATACAAGTATCCAACGTTTATCAGGTCATCGATATATATATAATTTTTTGAGTTATCGAATCCTACCGAGCCCTCGAAACGCATAGTTATCGAAAATTTTCGGAATTAGTCGAGTTATCGAATTTTGTTGAGTTCTCGGATTTATGACTTTTTGAAATTTATTGAATTATCGATATGTATCTATCGAATAATCGAAATTTATCGACAAACTGTATTGGATCAATTCCAAGTCCTCCAAAGACCTTAAAAGATATAAAAAGCTCATCACCGGCCGGTATACGAGAGGTAAGTATTTCGATGATCAAGAACCATAATTAGATCTACCGAGTAGTGGGCTTAAATTATATTTAAAAGGGCTCTAAGAGAAGCTCTCGTCCAAAAAAATTCCGCAACTTGACTTAACAATTAAAAATGTTGATGGAAGGATTTAAGTATTACACCTATTTAGGTATGATAACTTTCTATCCAAATTTGTAGGAGCCTTCAACACTAAATTTTGTTGAAAAAATAAAATAAATTCTATAAATAAATTTCCCAGAATACAGCCGCATTTTTCATGGGCTGTAAAATTTTTAAGCACACCACAACCACACAATTTCTGGCTAATTCTGTCTTCCTTTAGATGGCCACAGAAACACCCAACAAAATTTATTTACATCATTATCGATTGACACAACAAAAATCATAAAAATGATTAATACACAATTCAATGCAAATGAAGAGTATAAAAGTAATAAAATAGCAGACTACTTGCAACGAAATCAAATGAAGTGCACACCGAGGGGTAAGTAAAATAAATGAATTTGCTCATCAAAATTTCCAGGCACGTTGACATTGCACTGTAGTATTTATTCTGGTTTTCTGCCTGTTTTACAAAGTCTCAAATGCGATTAAGCTGAAATAGACACAAGGGAGCTGGCGCAGAGGCGGCGTAGTAGAGGACGAGAGAGAAAATCGGTGGCAAACAATAGGAGTAGAAATCAGTTGAGGCACGAATATGTAGGAATGAGTTGGCAAGACAACTAAAAGGAAGGACAGACAAAAAATAGAAAATTATTTATGTCATTTATTATGTAGACAAATAATAAATAAAACATTTCATAAATATTTCAGTTGCTGGCGATGAGGAAAATATATAGATTTTTGCGCGCAGATATGGAAAAGTTGTTGGGTTTTTATGCAGCTGACAAGTGAGCGAGGAAGACGAAAGTATCTTTTAGCAAGTGAAGTGGGGGGTTTGCTTTTTACTAATAATAATATTTATGTATGTACATACATATGTAGATAGGAATATGAAAAGACCGCTAAAAGGAAATACTTGTATGTAATGCAAATTGAAGTAGAGATAGTGTTATTTCGAAAAAATATTAAAACAAAATACACTAAGAAAAAAAATTTAACAAATTTTTCCAAACAGTCTTTTTTGGTTTTCTACCCAATTACAAAAAAATTAGATCATCAATTCATCAGAATATTTGTTTTTTTTTTTATGTATGTTACCGAATAACTTTGGACCCCGTGAACCGTTTTCGATAATTATTTTTTTTGGACAGTTGTACCCAAGGGTAGTCCCATAATAATTCTATTAAGTTGCGATCATTGGATCATGAAGAAATTAACGGTACGCCTAAATTTTTATATGAGCATTGAAGTCGGTTGTGTTTTTTACTTAGAAAATTACACTTTTCGACTTGGGTTAGTTGGATATTTCGCTATAAATCAGCGTAACTGCTTTTGCAGAATTCGCTGATCCGTCTTTACTATTTTTGATCGCCGGAGTCTTATTGTGTACCGTCAGCAAAAAAAAAACGAAATAATCAAAAGTCTACGAAATTCTTAAGCAACTTGCGCTTAATAAATTTACTGAAACTGTGTTGGGTTAATTTTTTTTACTTTTTGTACAAATTTTGGAACTGGACTTATATCGTTTTTGTTATAGAGTGACCTATATTTTAATAAGGAAAAATAATAATTAAAATTAAATAATAATAAAATAATAACCAAAACGTGTCAATATGTTGCGGTGATCTAAGTATGTATTATAAATTTCGAATGCCATCAGATGCAGCATGATAAAATAGATAAAATTATTTTGATGATTATTTTGAAACGAGTTTACGTCAGTGCTTGTCAATTCTGGTTTGGAGACAAACCGGTTTCGATGTTGTGCCATCTTCAGTGTCATTTTTCATTCTGAAGACGGCACAACGCCGAAACTGGTTTGTCTCAAAACCAAACTTGACAAGGGATGACGGAAATTCATTCCAAAATAAATCATCTTTCCACCCAGTCGGAAAAATAAATAAACACCAATAATATGCCATATAATGTTAAAGTAATACCTATTTAGGCCCGTTGTCTTTCGTTTTCGTTTTGCGTTTTTGAATAAGGAAAAAGTATCTGTGAAGTGCGAACCAAAGCGTAGTTAAACGAAAAAAATTCCAAACAACAATCTGTTTAAGTAAAGTAAAGATCGTTTGGTGCAAATCATAAAATCATATGTATGTATGTATTAGTGTGTTCGATTATTCGCCTTTTTTCAAACCCGCTTTTCGAGTTATTCGAAAAAGTGCAATTTAATTAAAAAATCGGTTCCAGATTTCAATATTTAGAGAAAACCAGATAACCCAGTTTCATTTGACATTGTTTTCATACAGTTAAAATGCTTACGTTGGTATGAAGTCATAACCAAAAATTACAATTAAACTATTAACAGCAAAGATAGCTTTTGTTTAGAAAAGAGCAAAGGAAAATAAGTTGAAAGATTTTTTTTGGATCAATGGTAAAACAAGTAAAACTATTTTTAATTTTTTCTTGCATTTTTCCTCTGATTTTTTCGGACAAGTCTTGAAAACTTAGAAAAACTCAAAACTTTTATGGAGAGGTCAAAATTTTTATGAAATGAAAAGAAAAACCGGTTTGTTCGATAAAAAAAAAAAACAGTTTATAATCAAGATTTCAAAAAACTTCCTCCAGAAAGCA